AAAAATACTATGCAGTATATATTGAATTTTGAAACTGTAAGAGTTTAAACAAAAACATGAGTAAAACTTGAAATACTGCTCTCCTAAATAAACTTCTCTAAAATATCTTGTAGGAAATCAGCCACAAAGATCCAAAAAAAGTGTCTGTAAATCACCCAATCATTTATGATCACTTACCTATCAGCAATACTCGATGGCTTATCACCAATGGGGACCAACACTCCACCCCACAGAGATGCTGAGAAAACCTATGGATGGTAAACAGACAGCTTTTAAAACATGCAACTTTGAATCCCATACAGAGGGGTTGGGCTCAGGCGCTACTCCTCTGACACTGGGCTGCTCCCCCTTCTGCAGGGAGACGCCAATTCCAGCAGGATAGGCGGTGCCTGGTGGACGAGGGACCCTGTACCTGCCCAGCTTCTCTGATTCGGCTCAGAACATGGGAGGGTCAGGGCACACAGCATCTTAGGTTGAACAAGTGCCACAATCATGAAAGACAATGAGACACATACTTCTAGCCCCCCGCAGGTCAGGAAGAAGTAGCAAAACTCAGGTCAGTGACCCAGCCTTCAGGCTGCGTGCTCCACCCACAGGACTACGCAACAATGCCTTCAACTGCAGTGGGCTCTCCCGGCTCAACCTCACCCACCCTGTGCTTTCACGGTGCTGAGCTGAGCAGGGCCTGCACTCTCGCACATCCTGTGCCTCTTTCTACCAGTGCAGACGGAGAACACGAACTACCAGTGCAGATGGAGCACACGGGCTACCAGTGCAGATGGAGAACACGGACTACCAGTGTGAAAGTATAACACAAACTACCGGGGCAGGACAGATAACACGGATTGCCAGGGCAGGATGGATAACACAGACTATCAGTGTGGACGAAGAACACGGACTACCAGTGTGGACGGAGAACACGGACTACCAGTGTGGACGGATAACATGACTACCAGTGTGGACGGGGAACACGGACTACCAGTGTGGACAGAGAACACGGACTGCCAGGGCAGGACAGCTATGATCAGAAAGTCTAAGACTGCAGTGTAGAGGAGGTGGAGGAGAGAAGGGCCATTGAGAAAGAGCAGCACAGTCGGAGAGGAGAGAGGCCAGGGCCTCAGAAGGTGGCTTAGAAGGGGAGGGCTCGAGCACTGGGAGAAGTCCAGAGCAGCTGGGCCAACACTGTGCACATTTCAGTGGATCTGGAGCCCAAGTACAGGAGACAGATTTGGGGAGTTTGAAAGCAGGTTGCTTTTTTAGGTTTTTGGTTATTTTTAATAATTACTTTATTTAACTTGATTTATTTGTTTAATTTGACCACACAGGGACAGAGAAAGAGAGAGAGAGATAACGTGAGAAAGTAAGCCACCAGGTCCAGGACTCGAACTGTGGTCAGTCATGTGGGAGTCCAGCGCCTCTAACCACCACGCCACCTGCTGCCCCCAAAAGGCTGATTTTCAACATGCTGATCTGCAGTTTCTGAGACACAAAGCTGAAACCAGCAGCACTTGAGCCTGGACCTGCAGAGCGGAGCCAGACGGTCTGTAGGCAGCATGGCATCCTGGTGGCAACAGCAGTAACAGGGCTGGGGAGACCCTCCAGGCAGAGCAGCGGAGCGAGTGGTCCCTACGAGAAGGAGGGCAGACATCCAGGGGGCAGCTGGAGGGCAAGCTGGGGAGGAGAAACTGAAACTCTGAGGAGACAGCAAGGGGTGGGGAGAACCCGTGCAATACTGATGGAGTCAAGGAAACCAAGAGAGAAAGCAAAAGGGACGCTGGAGCAGACGGAGTGTCAGGCGGCTTGGAAGGGACCGGAAAGAGGGTAACGGGGCCCAGCGCCGGCCTCCAATGTGGCAGCGGGGAGGGCAAGGCAGAGACGGAGTGGAGAGAGCCGTAAACCGAGGGCGGAAGAGAAACGGCAACAAACCACTTTCCAATGAAGTGTCATCAACAGTCGCACGGCCTGCCCCACTGAACTCCTCCTGGCCCCAGCTTCAAGGCAGAGACATGCCAACAGCAGGGCAGGCTGGGGGCCACCCTAGCACCCTGGGCTCTAGAAGACCTGAGAAATGAGCCAGGTACTCGCCCCGCTGGGGCCCCCACGGGTACAGCAGAACCCAGTCACTCACTCCATTTGTCCTGAGTGAAATTTGGAAAAACTAACCAAACTGATTAAAGATTTAAGAACAAAAATTCTGGAAGCATCAGGGCCCTACAGAGCCAGCAAAATAGGGTGAAGACTTGGAATTTCCCTGGAAGCCACATTTCTAGGGACCGGAGCTGTTCCTGGGTCCCCAAGCCACATCTCCTCCAAGGCCTGATAAACGGTCTCACATGAAATGACCAACAGAGATTATTTCTTGAAGTCACCGTCTCTCCCCATTGTCTGCAGTCCAGTTTACACCAGTAGGCTCTGGGCTTCCACTTCAGGGCTTTGGGTATCCTGGGACTCAAACTTCCTAAAGAGTCCAAAATCAAGGGATTACAGTGCAAGTGACGTGGTCCCAGCCAGATACTCACGGAATCAAACACGAGCTGTTTATTCAACTGAAGCTCAAAATCTTCTTTTAGGAAGCTCACGTCTCCTCCGGTGTAGCCTGCCAGCTCCTGCGGGAAAGATCCCCAGGTCAGCAAACAGGCCTCTCAGGGGAGTTACTAAAGAAAGTCTGCGATCCTGGTTTAACGTTTGGTATTTTTCAAAAGACAACAGAACGTTCTGGCTCCTAGAAACTCTGAGTTGACTGCTGTCGAGAGCAGCAGAGGCGAGTCGGAGGGACCTCAAGCCTGCACAGCGACCACGGACGGCGTCATTCCTGCCGTGAGGGGAAGACGTGGCTCCGCATCCTATTACAGAGCTCACGATGGTGGGAGGGCTCGTTGGCTCCTGAGTGTTTGGAGAACTGAGCCGGTCTTTTACCGTTTGGGACATTCTGTATAACAATCTAATTTCTGGGACCAGCATGTGGTCGAGCAGTTAAGATGTTGGACTCCCACATGGCCAACCAAAGTTCGAGTCCTGGACCTTGCCACTTAAAACTCACACCAGGTGCATGTGTGAGAAGAAGGGATTGTGGCACAGTCATCCCCCCTGGGGGATGATTTTTCACTTTCCCTCTGCCTCTCTCTCTCCAGCAAGCACACATGTCCTATGGAAAAATAAAAACCTTAAAAAACAAAACAAAACAAAAAAACCCCACTAACTTCTGCTTGTTCCTCTAAAGCTGAAGATCAGGCACCCTGGGCTTCTGCCCTGCACAACAGCTGCCAGCCAGGGGGTGCAGGGGCACGCAGGGCTTCCCCACCCTGCACCCAGTCTCCCAGCACACAGGCCGCCCCCCGCCCCGTGCACTGTGGCTGATCTCGCCATAGGGAGCTGAGTCTCGGGAGCCTTCCCACCTGAAGAAGAGCGAAAGGGGAAACAATAAGCTGTCTCCACGGCTGGCCCCGTATAGCGCAGGTGTGAGGTGCTGTACACAGAAGGCCATATCCTACATGGGCAACCGCAGCTCGAATCCCAGCCTCAGCAGCTTAAAAGACACACTGGTGCGTGTGCCTGCCCAAAATCCTGACAGGAAGAAGAAGGAGAAAGGACTCCAGCGTGGTCACGCCCCGTCGGGAGTGCACCTGTCTGCCTTCGCTCATCCGACACACTGGAGCATGTGCCTGCCCAAAATCCTGACAGGAAGAAGGAGAAAGGACTCCAGCGTGGTCACGCCCCGTCGGGAGTGCACCTGTCTGCCTTCGCTCATCCGCTCGCTAGCTCGCTCTCTCTCTCTCTCTCTCTCTCTGGCAAGAACACATGCCCTCTGGCAAATAAAACAAAACAAAGAAAAAGGCTGCTTTCAGAATTACTAGGAGAGCACATTTCTTTAAGACGTAAAGACAACTCCTTCACAGGCATGCAGGACATTGTTAACGGCACCAAAGACACATACCTCAGCTCGCCCTGGGTCCCATGGACAGGCTGACCTGCAGGGAGGAGCAACCTGGGACCGGGAGCCCTGCCAGCAAGTCCCAGGCAGGTTTATATTTCACGGGAAAAGTTCAATATTAAAATGTGAATACTCTGTGACTCCCCATCCCATCAGGTCACCCCGCCTGGAGACAGCCCTCCCTCCCGCCCGCAGCGTGAGCGGTGAGAACACTACCTGGTTCACTTTGAGCAGAGCGCCTCTCCTGGGTAAGATGGAAGAGTTCCGAGAGTCGATGACCATGGCATGCTGAAAGAAACATGCAGGTATTTCACTTCGCGACCCTACGAAGCGCACGCTCCAGCTGAGCACCGACTCGGGGCTGGGCTGGGCACGTCCGAGTTCCCCGTTCATCTTTGCAAAAATCCTCGGAGGGAGGTCGTACAGGTTGAGCAACCTTAATACAAAAATCCCAAATCTGAAACTTTCGAGCACCGACATGATGCTGTGGTGGAAAATTCCCACCTGATCTCCCGTGACAGTCGCAGTCAAATCCCTGCAATACAAAGTAGCATATAAAATGGCCTCCGGGCTAAGCGTGTGAGGTATGTATGAAACATACGTGAGTCCATGTTTAGGCTTAGGTCCCATCCCCAAGATATCACCTTGTGGGTATGCAAATATTCCAAAATTTAAAAAATATCTGAAACCTGAAACCCTCTGGTCCCAAGCATTCCAGACAAGGGACACCTGTACATGATACCTGTCCTCCTGAGGAAGCTGAGGCACAGAATAAACGACCCTGCTCATTACCCGTCACCGGGTTTGCTCTCTCAACGCACTGACCTGAGAGCTCGGCCAGCTTCCTGAATTTCTGAAGGTGAAGTCCACAGTCGGCTCTTAAACATATGTTCCCCCGTTAGCCCCACTGAGTTTCCCAGAAAAACGGACACGAGGCAGTGGACCCGACTCAGTCAGAGCCCCTACTGAGCCCCCAGTCTCGGGACACTTCTCAGGCAGTCCCAGGGCTGGCAAAGACCATCTCCCCGTGAGACTGTTAACAAACTTAGTCATGCACTCACACGAGGAACATCCGTACCGAAAGAGAAGACTTCAGTGAGTGTCCGCTTTCTTTTCTAACTGCAAACGATGCTGTTCTGGAGAGGCAGCCCAGTTCTCGCCACACGCCTTCCCACTTGACGGTGTGGCTGGTCTTCCATATGGGAAGCTGTGAACACACACGCAAAGATGAGATGCTTTCCGAACCATGCACACATGAACACACATGCAGGGGCAAGATGCTTTCTGAACCACGCACACATGAACACACACAGGGGTGAGATGTTTTCTGAACTGCAGACACATGAACACACGTGCAGGGGTGAGACCCTCCTGAACCGAACACACAGGAACATGCACACAGAAGTGAGACCATTTTGAATCACACACACAGGAACACATATGCAGGGGTGAGACCTTTCTGAACCATACAAACATGAACACATATACAGGGATGAGATGCTTTCTGAACCGCACACACAGGAGCACACACACAAAGTGAGACGCTTTCTAAACCATGAGGACCCACAGGGATAAGATGCTTTCTGAACCACACACATAGGAACACGTATGCAGGGGTGAGACTTTTCAGAACCATGAACACATACACACTCAGGGATGAGACGCTTTCTGAACTGCACGCACGCAGGAGTTGTCAGCTTTTGGAATGAAGCACCACTAAATAACTGAGTATTTAAATACCAAAAACACATTTTTTAGGTGATAGGAGGGAAGGAGGAAGGTAAGCAGGGTAGGGGCCAGCAGACGGCATAATGGTCACATTGATGAACTGACTCCCTCTGTAGCTGACCACAGTTCAAATCCAAGACCTTAAAAGTCACGCCGGGCACGTGTGTGTATGTGTGTGCCCAAAATCCCGAGAGGAGACTGTGGCATGGCCATTCCCCTTGGGGGGTGATTTCTTGCTTTCTGTCTGTCTCCAGCAAGCACATATACCCTAGAGCAAAAATATTACTCTCAAGAAAAAAAAAAAGGTAGGGAGGAAGGACAAGGAAGAAAGGGAGAAAGCTGTGCACTTCATCAAAGGAAGCTGCCCTCGGGGCAGGTGTCCCAGGACAGGGGCGGAGTCTGGTCTGAAAGCTGCAGGCAGCTCTGGAAGCAGCAGGCTGACTCATCCACCTCTTTGTAAAGGTCAAGGCACCTGGGCCTGCGTGACATACTCCAGTGAGGTTCACTGACTCCTGGTCTGAAGACAGGCCTGGTGACGGGCTGAGCGACATGGTCAGATCAGCCCCAGGGAAGAGCCGAGTCACGTGAGGATGCAGAACACCCAGAGGCCTGAACAAGTGAGCTGTGCGCGTGCGAGTGGGACCTGCCTCCACCTCAGTGGCTCCCCAAGCCAGGGCAGCCTGTCTTCAACCTCACCGCAGAAAGCCGCCCCTGGGCTCTCTGAACCAAATGAGGCTAGCTGGTGGCTGTGGGCAACAGGACCGTGATTTAACTCACAGGAGTCAGGTCACCCCCCCTCCCCAGAGGGCACCCCAAACTGAGCAGCCTCTGTAGCCCTCGGGCCTGCAAGAGAACTCAGGACCCCTGAGGGTGGGCACCATCCCAGGCCCTGAACACCCCATGCTGAGGGTGATGACCTGGGGTGCCCACCTCACCGCAGTGCTTCATGAAGCCCCGCTGGGCACAGCCAGCTGAGAGACCCGGCCTTGCCCTCCTCCACACTCGCATTGAGGGCCTGAGCGCCAGCGCTTCCCGAAAGCCTTGGTGAGGAACGGAGCGCCCCACTCCACCTCCTCTTTCCTTATAAGGCTGTGCTCAGCAAGACAGACACACCTAAGAGGAGACACACTGTCTACCCCTGGTGCCTGTCAGGACAGGTGGCGTGCAGCAGCACCATCCCCCCTGAGTAGCAAGGCCCTACCTCACGGGCCCGAGGGGGTACAGCACAGCCTTCTGGTCCTTTCCCTGACTTTGGCTCACCCAACTTTGGGGCTGCCGGCTACAAGGCCTCTCCACTCCCATCCCCTCCTACCCGCGATCGTGGCTGTCCCTTGGTGTTGTTCACCTCTGCTATTCTGTAGGTAAACGAGACGTCTCCACTCTCCTTAGGCAAAGAGAGAAGGGGAGCACGCCAGGAGGAAGATGAGAGACACGGCAGGTGCCAGCCACGGCCACCTCCCTCTGGTGAGGTGGCCCTCTCTCCTGTTGCAGGGCCAGATGGAGAGAACAGCGCTTGTCCAGATGTCCCCTTTGCGCCCACCACAGGCTCTCTGGGACTGCATTGGAGCAGATGGCTCTCCGAGGGCTTCCCCTTCCAGACAAGGCATGGCTGTCACTGGGAGAAAAGAAAGTGCCAGTGCATGTGCTCACAGGGCTGGTCCACGGCCAATGGGCTGCCTGGACGTGCTCACAGGGCTGGTCCATGGCCAATGGGCTGCCTGGACGTACTCACAGGGCAGGCCCACGGCCAA